CTCTCTCTCTCTCTCTCTCTCTCTCTCTCTCTCTCTCTCTCTCTCTCAAAAAATTAACTAAAAAAAAAAAGGCAGAAAGAAGTTTCTTGTTAGTGTTTTATATCATCACCATCGATACTCTCAGTCTACAAGAAGTCAGCTGAGATCAAGATGGAAAGTTGATATAAATTATGGATGCCCTCATGAACATTTACTGACTCGAAACAACAGCACTTGCTAACTCAGGTGTTGCACTTTCTCAGGTGTTACTGTACATTCTCGCTCAAGTATCACCCATGTGTTTGCTCAAGTGTCACCCTCAGGTGTCATCTTTGAGTGTCACCCTCACAGATCACCCTCAGGTTCACTCAGGCATGGCCACTTGCATGCCTGCACAACTAGCAGCCGTATTTTTCCCACAGGATTGTCCTTCTTCCAGGAACTCTCTCCTTCAAGTGTATTTTATTACCTGGTCTTAACAATGCAGACACAAGGTCTTCCCTGCCTTTACCGAGGACGCACTGACTCCTCACATTTCTCAGTTGTGGAATCAAGATTTCTTCTGTCAGGGAATTGATGAGTATTTTTTCAGTTGTAGAGATTTACAGATTTTTTTTAACGTTTATTTATTTTTGAGACAGAGACTGAGCATGAATGGGGGAGGGTCAGAGGGAGGGAGACACAGAATCTGAAACAGGCTCCAGGCTCTGAGCTGTCAGCACAGAGCCCGACGCGGGGCTTGAACTCACGGACCGAGAGATCATGACCTGAGCCGAAGTCGGCCGCTTAACCGACTGAGCCACCCAGGCGCCCCAGATTTACAGATTTTTAAGTCATTTCGATAGCCACCTTATGTACTTATGGGCATCCATTCTCAAACTTCTCATAAACCTGTTTCATATTTTATCATTGCCCTAATCGCAATTGGTAATGGAGGCCCACATGGCAAAAGCTTCCCCTAGATGAGCCTCGGTTGTATGCCAGTGGTAGAGACTTACTATGCACACAGTGCCTATGCTACTGACATGCTCCTAGCCCTCCTTCAGTATATGCACAGAAACCTTAGTGATTAAAGCCTTATAACCATACAGAGGTGGGTCCTGGTGCCATGTATCCTTCAGCATGTCCTTTCCCTTTCTGAGCCTGAAACATGTGGATGATAGTAGATGATTGGGTTGGATGATACAGGAGGAAATGAGATAACATATAGAAAATGGTTGGTGTGACACTAGTTCAATTCGCCACATCTGTTCTTATTAATAGTCTTTATTAATAATGTCCCTGAATGTTACCCAGGCAACAGAATTGAGCAGTTGTCTTTAGTTTCTTTGGTGGCAGTTCCCCATTTCACTACTCACATAACATGTTTTGTCTAAAGGACCTAGATTTAGAAATTTGCCCAATAGACTTTAGTTACAGAAGGAAGAATTCAAGAAGGAGGAAGTGGTAGAGGAAAAGGAAGCCTACTGATTTTTCAGTTGATTGCACTATTTTTGCTTGGCTCCTAGACTTGCATTTTCCCCCAAATATTTTGGTTTTCCCTTTTCTTCTTCTTTTTTCTTTTTGGTTCACTTGTACTGGGGAGCCCGTGGAGTCTCATGTTGATCTGCAAAGCTCTATTTCCCCAGGAAACTCTGTTTTACATTTCTGAAAAGAAATAAAGTTTTGGAAGTTTACACAAAAATGTTTGTTCTTGGGGCACCTGACTGGCTCAGTCAGTGGAGCATGCAACTCTGGATCTCAGGGTTGTGCGTTCGAGACCCACATCAGGCTCTCTGCTACCAGCATGAAGCCCACTTCTCTGTCCCCATCTCTCTGCACCTCCCTCACTCCTGTTCTCTCTCAAAAATAAATAAACATTGGGACACATAGATGGCTCAGTGTGGTTAAGTGTCTGATTCTTCGTTTCAGCTCAGGTCATGATCTTACAGTTTTGTGGGTTCGAGCCCTGTGTCGGGCTATATGTGCTGGCAGCATAGAGCCTGCTTGGGATTCTCTCTTTACCTCTCTGCCCCTCCCCTGCTTGTGCTATCTCTGTCTTTCTCAAAAAAAAAAACAAAAAAAAAAAAAACAAAAAATTTTTTAAATAAAAATAAATATTAAAAAAAGTTGATCTATCTGATGATCTTTATAAATGGAGTCATTTTTACTTGTCAGAGCCCAGGTGCTTTATTTCACTTTCTGAAAGGCATGGTGATTGTAGCCTGTTTCTGAAGCTGAGGAAACTGAACCAGAACCAGAAATCCTTCATGCCTTCCCTAAAAGTCATTAGTCAGGAAAGGTATCCTCAACACATTAGGTTTTCTGGGATGTACTCACAGGTACCTAATGCATCATGATGGATAAGGTGGACAAGGTGCATGAAAAACCAAGTGTAAAACTTTATAACAGAACCCCAGAAACCAACTTTTCTTGACTTCCCTGGGGGTGAACCACAAACCATCTTCTAAGCGTCTGTCTGTATCCGCTGTGCCTAGCTAGGCCTTGAGGCCTTTCTCAGCTGTGTGTCCCTAGCATCATTACTTTCACGTGGCAGAGGCCACCTGGCTTCTATCCCTAGCCTGACGATATTTGACCTATGTGACCTCGGGTAAGTCACTAACTTCTCTGTTTCTTCCCTTATCAAGCATATTGTTTATACAAATGTAGAGATTTAAAGGATCTCCCCTGTCTCTTCGTGGGGCTTGTAAAAGACCAAAACCAACAAGCAAAAAACAAAAAGAGGTGTGAGAACCCTAAAACTAGAAGGAAATACACCAGAATCTTGTTTACTCTGGATTTATGTGAGGTATATATTTTCTTGTTGATAGTTTTCCTACATTTTCCAAGTTTTCCACAGTAAGCATGTCTTTCTTTTCTAATAGAGAAAAAAGAAAAGTTTGATAAAAAGAACATTACACATCATCCTTGCATTAGTCTATGTACGCACAAAGTCAGAGTGACAGGAGAGAGGCCAGGATAAAGAAGTACATTTGAACTAGGTGGGTCAGTTACAGATGTGCCTGAAGCAGCCTAGCCAGCATCCAAGCTTAGTTAGCAGTGCAGGGCAGGGGGACCTGCCACACCCAGTGTAAGGGACTACTGTCACTCTTAAGATTTCTAATTAGCAGTAACATACTAGCTCTGCAGCTGACAGTACAGTGTTATAAATTAACAGGTTCTTCTCTTTATAAAAAGATTCATCGGATAGACCTATTACACTTTTAGCAAGCTATTTACAAAATGAGTGCATCTAAAATATTCTAAATTTGATTCTAAAATACAATTCTAGGGGCACCTGGGTGGCTCAGTAGGGTAAGCAGCCAACTCTGGATTTCAGGTCATGACCTCGTGGTTTGTGAGTTCAAGCCCCACATCAGGCTTTGAGCTGACAGGCTGACAGTGTGGAGCCTGCTTGGGATTCTGTCTCTCTCTCCCTCTTTTTCTTCCCTGTGTATTAGTCATTCTGTGATACACATTTCTGTCCTTTGCTTTAGTTACTAAGATAGATGGCTACTGTGGGACCTTGCTTTGGAGACAAGTCATGCCCTGGAGATTGTAGTCAGGCTAAATCTATCAAAGGTATAAAAAAGAGTTTATGAGATCAAGAAGTAAATTAGCTCTTCAGCTATTAAATGTTCTCCCCCAAGGTGAGTATTCCACATTGTTTGCATTGCTGTTGGGTATTTACTCTGTATGATTTAATGTTTAGGCAGCTTTCTGCTTAGAAGGAAAATGACTGCAGTGTACTGACAAAGGTATATGCCTGGTCTCTATTGCTCTCAGCCAATTCTTAGAAACCAGAGGGCTTTTTTATTTCTTGGGGAAATCACCCTATGGATTTTATTTTCAGGTGATTCTGAAAGGCAGCAAGGAGCGCAGCACTGGGGCCACTGGAGTTAATGCAGACTCCTCCCGCTCCCATGCTATCATCCAAATTCAGATCAAAGATTCAGCCAAGAGGACATTTGGCAGGTGAGCTGGAAATATGCAAGGAACTGCATTGTCTGCCTTTCCGTAACATGACTTTGAAATATGTGTTATCAACAACAGAACACTCTGCCACCATGGAGTTTTTAATAAATATCAGGGATACAGAGTAGAGTTGTTAGCCCTGAAATAAATCATTGTATTAAAGTGCCATCAGTTGATTAACCATGAAGTAATGACCTATTGTTGGTCAAGCCTAAGTTATTAAAAGGGACATTGATTGCTTCTAACATGAAACACAGTATCAGCAAAGGAATAGTAGGAAATGCATCTCAGCTTACAGGCCAAAAAAAAAGGGGAGGGGGGAGAGAGAATTAATCTAGCCTTCTTGAAAGAAGCCATAAGACAATTGAGTACATTCATTGCTTCTCTGGTGCTATCTTAGCAAACTCTGCCACACTGATGGATGAGCCTATCTCACCTCTCAGTAATGAGTCTTTTTCTTTTCTTTTTTTTTTTTCTTTAAACTTTTCTTTCTTTTCTTTTCTTTTTATTTTTTTGGCTGGAAAGCAGCCCACAGAAGTTTCTATTTAATTATCTAAGTGGTCACATACGTGATTTGCATTGCAGTCATTTAGCTTTATGGGAAGAATGGCGGGGTTTTTGGTGGGGGGAAGAATGTTTTATTAATTTTAGTCATACTTTCTCACAAATGATTAAAACCAATGGAAGTGTCTGAGTGAACAGTGCTATCAACAGCTGACAGATCAGGATCTTAAAATACTTTTGGAAAGCTGACAGTAATGTCTTTTCTTTCCTGAGGATGGGCCAGTGTTAATTTCTTCCTGCCGCCACAAAATGCTGACTGTTGTAAAAATAAACGAAAGCCCCAAAGAAGTTATCTTTGCTGTGTCTTTTCTCTAGGATCTCTTTTATTGACTTGGCTGGCAGTGAAAGAGCAGCAGACGCCAGAGACTCAGATAGACAGACAAAGATGGAAGGTGCAGAAATAAACCAGAGTCTTCTGGCTGTAAGTTGTTTGACAACTTTAATCTAAAAATCCTTCTTGAGGGGCACCTGGGTGGCTCAGTCAGTTAAGAGTCCGACTTCAGTTCAGGTTATGATCTCATGGTCTATGAGTTCGAACCCCGTGTCAGGCTCTGCTGACAGCTCATAGCCTGGAGCCTGCTTCGGATTTTGTGTCTCCCACTCTCTTTGCCCCTGCCCTTGCCCCTGCCCCTCCCTCCCTCCCTCCCTCTCTCTCTCTGTCTCTCAAAAATAAATAAACAAACAAACAATTAAAAACTTAAAAATTTTTAAAAATCCTTCCTGAGAGATTTTGTCCCTCTTTACATGCAGCCAGAGTGGGTGAGGGTGGCTGGGTGGAATCAGTAGAGCAAGGGCATGCTCTTAGAGTCTGGCAGTGGAATTCCAAGGTTGGAATTGGGCAGAGGCTGCCCAATCAGATTCTCAGCAAAGGAACACACAAGTATTTCTGCAGCTGCTAAATGGTTAACTTAGGTAAGCTTTCTCCCTCTCATCAAATTTTTAGATTGTATTAAGTTTTCAAACATACAAAAGTAGAATAAATCATTTAATGACTTCCCAAATACTTGCACCCAGCTTCAACATGTGAAAAATCTAACTAACCCTTCCCTTGGATTATTGTAAAGCAAATCCTGTCATCCTGTCATGTCTTCCACAAATATTTCATTATCTCAAGGAGATGAGGGCTCATACTTTCTTAAATATACCTGCAATGCCATTATCACACCTAAAGAAATAATTATGTTATATTATCTATTATCTAGTAAATGTTATCCTTCCTCCAGTTGTCCCATAAATGGCTTTTCACAGTTGGTTTGTTCAAATCAAGATGCAAACAGGACCCTTGGATCATTTCTGATAGTCTCTTTTATTCCATATCAGTTCTTCCATTCTCTCTCTCTCTCTCTTTAATATCAATGTATTTGTTCAAGAAAACTGGGTCACTTGTCCTATAAGATTTCCTGCATTCTGGATTAGGTTGACTGCATCCCCATGTTGATGTTTAACATGGCACTCTGTTCTCTCTATTTTCTGTAATGTGGTTAAGGTCTGTGTTTGTGCTGTACAGTACAGTAGCCACTACGCCACATGTGGCTATTGAGCACTTCAAACGTAGCCAGTCTGAACTGAGATATGCTCTAAGTGTAAGATACACCCTGGATCTTGAAGCAGGCATAATATCTCATTAATATTTTTCATATTGATTACACAATGAAATAACATTTTGGATGTATTGGATTACATAACATGTAATTAAGATTAATTTGGAGTGCCTGAATGGCTCATTCGGCCAAGCATCGGACTCTTGGTTTTGGTTCAGGTCATGATCTTGAAGTTCGTGGGATTGAGCCCCGTGTCAAGCTCTGCGCTGGCAGCATGGAGCCTGCTTGGGATTCTCTCTGCCCCTCTCCTGCTCATGAGCGCATATGCGCGCGCTCTCTCTCAAATAAATAAATAAACTTAAAAAAAGATTAGTTTCATTTTTTTTAATGTGAAATTTTAAATTACACGTATGATTTGCATTTGTGGCTAACATTTCTATTGGGAAAGCACTGTTCTAGAAGCTTGATGAGATTGGGGTTCTGTTTTTTGACAAGAATTCATGGGTAGTTTTTAGACTTCCTATAGGAACATGTCAGGAGGTACAGAATGTCTGCTTTTCTCTCTTTGTGATTTTTTAAGAATTGAGAAAAATTCAAGTGTCAGCTTAATTCCTCCATTATAGTTTCCTATCACACTTTTTCATTGAGTGGTTTTAGCAGCCGTTGATGAACATCGCCTGTATCTGCTGTTTTATTAGAGAATCCAAAATGATGATATTCTAATACTCCTTCTTTATTAGCTGGAAAGAACTTTCCCTCAACTGTCTGATTCTGAAATATAGTTCATACAGTAGAGACCAGATAAATTCTTGCTTCTTTGCCTTTACTCACCATTTTGCAGAATGACTGGTGTCCTAGTAACCTAAACATGACCAATGAGTTTGTTATTTACTTTTTTTTTTTTTTTTTAATTTTTTTTTTCAACGTTTATTTATTTTTGGGACAGAGAGAGACAGAGCATGAATGGGGGAGGGGCAGAGAGAGAGGGAGACACAGAATCGGAAACAGGCTCCAGGCTCTGAGCCATCTGCCCAGAGCCCGACGCGGGGCTCGAACTCACGGACCGTGAGATCGTGACCTGGCTGAAGTCGGACGCTCAACCAACTGCGCCACCCAGGCGCCCCTTTTTTTGTATTATTATAAACTCATTATAATCATTATTCTTTTTTGCTATTTAAATTGTACATATTTGGCCAGTGGGAACTTTTTCAAGTATGTTCCTTTGTTTTTTTGACCAGCCCTCTTAGTCTCGAATAGCTTCCTGGCTTTCTGGTATGACAAGATAATCTACACTCATCTTGTACGTTTCCTTTTCCAGACCTTGAATCAGCCAGTTCTTCAACAAGCCTTGGTTTTAGAAGGAAATGGCATTTAGAGACCATTAAGGGGCACTAGGGGTGCTTATACCATAAGTGGGTTAGTAGACAGAGCTAGGAAATAGATTTTTTTTGAAAGGGAAGGTAGATCAGGGATTCATACTAATAAATTAATTCAAAAATTAAGATTACAAGGGTTTTGGTTAACTTTTTTGAATTTATATTTCCCTTCTCTCCTATGCTAGAATTCTTAGTTCCTAACATTAATTTATTAGCTCTACTTCAGTATGTATACATTTCAAAATAATCCTAACACTACTCATAATATGATTACTGAATTCAAATTAATATTTCTTTGCAGTTTCTTTTTCGCTCTTAAATTGTATCTGGTTAGGGATGTGTAGTCTTAATACTGTGTTGCAAAGTCACTTGATAAACACACACACACATACACACACACACACACACACACACACACACACATTCAGTACATTGAATATATATGTATTCAACGCTGTTCTCAGAAGTAAAAGGGTAGCATACTGTAAACACTTTGCTTTTTTCCCTGACCAGTATCCTGGAGGTCCCTACACGATTCTATATAAAGATTTTCCTTATTCCTTTTTGCAGCTCTACAGTGCTGCCTGTGCTCCTCCGTATTATTTAAGTCCTTTTGACCAGAACTGAAGTCTCTAGCTAGGTACTTTATTTCTAGGCCTCATGAAGGATAAATTGCAAGGCTAGAAAGGTGAGAGAGCATCTATCTTTATCTTTTTAATTTTTGAATAATTTTAAGTTTACAAAAAGATGCAAAAATAAATGCCCAGCATTCCTTCACCCAGCATCCATAATAAAATGCTCTAAATCAGGAAATTAACATTGGTTATAATACTATTAACTAAAAAAAGAAAAATTTTAAAGGGGTGCCTAGATGGCTTAGTCAGTTGAATGTCCAACTGCTGATTTCAGTCATCCCAGGGTCATGGGATCGAGTCCTGTGTCAGACTCTGTGCTGAGCATGGTGCCTGCTTGAAATTCTCTCTCTCACTCTCTCTCCCCCACCCCCACCCCCGCCTGCCTCTTTCTCTCTCTCAAATAAAAGTTTTAAATATTTAAAAAAGTAATAATACTATTAACTAATCTACAGACCTTGTTTTAATTTCACCAGTAGTCCCACTGATGTCCTTTTTTGGGTCCAGGACCTTTTATTGCATTTAGTTGTTCTGTCTTCATAGTCTCCTCAGTTTTTGTTGTCTGTGACTTTAACACCTTTGAAGAGTGCTGGCATTTTATTTTGCAGATTGTCTGTGGATTTGGGTTTTCTCAGATTCGATCAAGGTAAAGAATTTTTAGCAAGAACACCACATAAGTTGTGTCCTTCTTGGTGGATCATATCAGGTGGTGCATGAAATCAGTATGTCTTACTACTGGTGATGTTCACTTTGATCACTTAAGGTGGTTTGTGCTAGGTTTCTCCACCGTAATGTTACCATTTTTCCTTTTGTAATTAATATCTTATGGGGAGATACTTTGAAACTATGCAGATATCCTATTTACATCAGACTTTTGCTGCCTAATTTTGGCATCCATTGATGATTCTTAATCTGCAACAATTATTGTGGTGTTTACCTGGTGGGATTTCCTGTTCCTATCACTCTTTTTACATTAATTAGTTGGAATTCTGCTGTAAGAAAGAGCTGTCCTTCTTCTCCAATTTATTTATTAGATTATAACAGTAAATGGATATTTCTTTTATTTGCTAGATTATAATACATTTCTATCATTATTTTATTGCTCAGATTGTCCCAGATTTGGCCATTGTGAGCTCTTTCAAGTTGGCTCCTGTATCATTTTGATATATATGCCCTCATCATTTTTTGTTGTTGTTTATGTATTTTGAGAGAGGGAGAGAGAGCACAAGCAGGGGAGGGGGCAGAGAGAGAGAGGGACAGAGGATCTGAAGTAGGCTCTGGGCTGACAGCAGAGAACCTGACACGGGGCTCGAGCTCACAAACCGTGAGATCATGACCTGAGGCGAAGTCTCAGGCTCTGACTGAGCCACCCAGGCTCCTCATCCCCCATCATTTTTGAGCATATCCTTGCCTTTTGGCCTTATAAGATGTCACACACACATCTTTATGCTTTCCCTGCCCTAGCCCTGTAATCAACCATTTCTCAAAGGAGCCCCAGAACCAATAGCATTTACCGGTTAAGTTTCTAAGACTCAGATGGATTAAGTGAACTGGCCAGGGGTCCATATTCTCTAGCTACAAATCTGTGATTCTCATATGTAAAATTATGGTCCAGGAATCAAGTATAAAACCTGGGAAGAAGTCCATGTGAAGTCATACAACCTCTTGAGACTGGACTATGTCTGTCTCACAAGGTCAGTAGCATGCAAAGGAGCCTAGAAACAAGCCTTCAAAAACCGCATCATAATCTTGTGCTTTGTGGGGCTCCACGGGGTCTCAGTTAGTTGAGCATCTGACTCTTATTTTCAACTCAGGTCATGATCCTAGGGTCATGGGATCAAGCCCCACATCAGGCTTTGCACTGGGCCTGGAGCCTACTTGAGGCTTTCTCTCTCTACCTCTGTCCCTCTCTCCTGCTTGTGCTCTCTCTCTTTCTCTAAAAAAATAAAATTTAAAAAAATAAATAAAAATTTTAAAAATATTTATTAAAAAAATCTTGGGGTGCCTGGGAGACTCAAGTCGGGTAAGCATCCGTCTTGGGTTCAGGTCATGATCTCGCAGTCTGTGGGTTCAAGCCCCGTGTCGGGCTGTGTTGACAGCTTGGAGCCTGGAGCCTGTTTCAGATTCTGTGTCTTCCTCTCTCTGCCCTTCCCCTTTTTGCACTCTCTCTCTCTCAAAAATAAATATTTAAAAAAAATTTTTTTAAATCGTGTGCTTTGTAAGGTGCACAAAGGTACACCTTATTTTCTTCTTGGGTATTCCCCTTAGTTCTCCCTTAATAAGTTTAATAAAGTATACTTCCCATTCTGATTCAACAGGGCTAAAGGGACTCAAGGACTCATAGGGATTGGTGGCCACACTTGGATTTGAGTATGTAAGGGGCAGGTGTAACTCAGGGGCAGGATTTGGCTACCTGTTTGTCCCTTTTGGAGAACTGTCCTAGTGCTCAAGTTTGGGGTATTTGTAATAAAAGAGGAAATTCCCTTATATAGGTTTCTCTATCTGAAAATAGAATTTTCCCATGAAACCTTTTGTAAGCCAAAATGGCATAAGGCAAAGAAGTGATTACCATTAATTTATATGGGAAAAGTGTGTGCATTCCCAAAATGCCAAAAATAGCCTGTCTTCGGCTTTTCTGATACCTTAAGATACATCTTGCTAATGGGTGTACAAACTAAATCAAAATAAAGCACAGATGGAGGAACCCAACTGGCTTAGTCAGTGGAGCATGTGACTCTTGATCTTGGGGTTGTGAGTTCAAGGCCCACATTGGGCTTAGAGTTTACTTAAAAAAAAAAAAAACTATTAAAAGATAAGGGACACCTGGGTGCCTCAATTGGTTAAGCATCCAACTCTTGATTTCAGATCAGGTTATGATCTCACAGCTTTTGAATTCCAGCCCTGTGTTGGTCTCTACGCTGACAGCACAGAGCCTGCGTGGGATTCTCTCTCTCCCCATCTCTGCCCCTCCCCCGCCCACTCTCTCTCAATACTAAGTTAGTTAATTAAATTAAATAAATAAAACACCGATGGAGATACAGTTCTGCTGAGATGTTGAATGTACTTCCCTGGGAAGCAGTTGGACGGTACCACTCTTGCCGCTCAGGGTACACGCACTGCACCTGTAAAGGCTTGTTGCAGAATAAACGCTGAATACTATTTTTACTTTTTACCTTACTTTTTAATGTTTATTTTTGAGAGAGAGAGAGAAAGCGTGTGTGAGCATGGGTGGGGGAGGAGCTGAGAGAGAGGGAGACAGAATCTGAAGCAGCTCCAGGCTCCAAGCTGTCAGCACAAGAGCCCGACACAGGGCTTGAACTCAAACTGTGAGATCATGACCTGAACCGAAGTCAGACGCTCAACTGACTGAACCATCCAGGGGCCCTTACTTTTCACCTTTTAAAATAAAAGTGAAAATCCTCTTTAAATTTCTTTTAGTTAGCACTGGTACTAATGTAGGCCTTTTATAAAAGTGAAATGGCATAACCTGAACTTTCAGAAAGTGGAGGATACTTGTTCCCTCTTATATACTGCAGCTTTTTGGATAGAGAGGAGTTAGCTGTGGACCTCAATATTTGCCACTAAGAACAGCCATAGCAAACTCTCAAGGCTAATTACCTGTTCTTGGTGAACTCCAGCATGGGTACTTCCAAGGATTCCTTCCATCCTCTTTCCTCCCTTCCTTTACATTTACTTTATTTTAACCTAGATACATGACTCAGAAATAGGAGATCTCTTCTCCCTCCTCCTGTTCCCCTCACCCTTGCTGTTCTGTTCTTTCTGATGAGCATGTTACCCCTGGAGGTCTACATATGTGGATCTCTGAGCGCTAGTGATGTTCAAATGTGCACTTTTTTGAGGGGCTTATGTCTAGGAGCAAGTGGTATGTCCTTGCCTTTGGGACACAGTCCCTGCCTTTTTAAAATAAGAAGGTAAAAAATAAAATGAGAAGGTAGACTTAGGTGATTTCCCAGTTCCTTTCCAGCTCTGACTCTAGAATTTCTCCTGTCCCACTGAGAAAACTTTTATCTGAGTCTACACTTGAATCTACACCTATAGGTATGCATGTGGGAGCAGGGAGGTTGAGGGAGTCAAGTAGATATTCTCTCTACTTCAGCACATCCATAGCTGATAATAGTATAAGAGGAGATGAGAAAAAGGGAGGTGGCAAGCCAGAACTGCCACCACATCAGCTTGGACTCTGGGCCTTGTGGGAAGTTACCTGGTTTGTCTGTGCCCTGCTATCAGGGCTAATTCTAGGATCACAGCCTTTATGTTGGGTGGCCCTTAACTAGACACAGCACAGGATGTTGTTTCCCAGTCTAGCTTGATTCTTCTTGTTGGACAAGAAACTACCAGGGCATTTGAATTCCTTTTGGAGGATTGCCTAAGTGTGGCTTATTTAAGAAAAGTCTGATCTGTTAACTCTCTCTTTGCATGTGATATATGATGTGTTTGTTGTTATTCTACTCTGCAGCTGAAGGAATGTATCCGAGCATTGGATCAGGAACACAGCCACACTCCCTTCAGGCAAAGCAAATTAACTCAGGTAAAGTTAAATGTGAGCTTTGAGTTTGTTCTCACTTGTTCTTTCATTCATTTGTTCATTCAGCAAAGCATCCACTGCCAGCAATGCATGATGCTAAGCTTCGGGGTCCAGGGAAGGAAAGGGTCACATTCTTTCCAGGAGCCTGGAATGGGCTCATTCCAGGATGCCCATTCTAGAGAGGGGCATCCTCAGGCAGAGATGCCTGTGGTGGGAGGCAGCTGGGCATTTTCGGGGCAGTGGTGCTCTTCTGGTCATCACTCAACAGCTTTTTGCCAATTTCTAATATAAAGAAGTATTTTTTATTTAGTGGAGTCTCTTGAGCCTTTGAAGGGAGGTTGGTGTAGTTGTACTAAGTACTTTCTTAGCTGTAAGACTTAGACTAGTGTTTCAAGATAAAAAATAACAGCTGGAGTTAAAAAGAATGAGATAGATGTATTTTTGAAGAGTTTATTTTGGGGCGCCTGGGTGGCTCAGTCACTTGAATGTCTGACTCTTGATTTCGGTTCAGGTCATGATCCCAGGGTTGTGGGATCAAGCCCCGCATCGGGCTCTGCATGGAGTGTGGAGCCTGCTAAAGATTGTATCTCTCCTTCTCCTCCTCTCCCCTGTTCACATGTGTGCGTGTGCTGTCTCTCTTAAAAAAAAAAAAAAAAGTAAAAAAAAAGTTATTTTTAAGTAATGTCTATATCCAACATGGGGCTTGAACTTAAAACCCTGAAATCAAGAGTCACATGCTCTACCAACTGAGCCAGCCAGGTGCCCCGGATGAGCTAGATTTTTGACAGGTTCTGATAGGAAAGATGACCAAGATCTACAGTATAAAAATATGTTATGAGACAAAAACTACACAAAAAAATTCTGCATGTGTTAACTGATTATTCTGAGTGTTAAAACTATAGGTAATTTTTTCCTCCATTTTTCTGTCATGAAACTGTGCTTTATTAACAGAAAATGCTAGTAAGTCAGCATTGTAATAGCTATACAAAAGTGGCCCATGGAGGGGTCTACCTACATATAAACTGCTGTGAAGGCAGTTATGGGTGCTTCTGATTCCCTTCTGCACCAAGTCCTGTGCCCAGTGGAGAATGGACTAGGGTAGAAGGCAGTTTACGAGATCTTTGTATTTTGGGAGAGGTTTTCAGTCTGTGCAGCTATCCTAATGGCTCCACAGGGCCTGTGGCAGAACCTATAACATAACTCCTTAGTAGTCGGAACTGGTTAGATGATGTCTTCTCAAACATTTCAGCCAGAAACTTAGAAAACCTTTCTTATGGGTGATTCTGACATTAGTTGTTATTTTTTTTTTTTTTAATGTTTATTTTTGAGAGAGAAAGAGACCATGTGAGCAGGGGAGGGGCAGAGAGAGAGGAGGACACAGAATCTGAAGCAGGATCCAGGCTCTGAGCTGTCAGCACAGAACCCAACATGGGGCTCGAACTCACGTCCTGTGAGATCATAACCTGAGCTGAAACCAGATGCTTAACTCACTGAGCCACCCAGGTGCCCCTTGGCTCTGTTATTTTTTAATTTTTTTTTCAACGTTTTTATTTATTTTTGGGACAGAGAGAGACAGAGCATGAACGGGGGAGGGGCAGAGAGAGAGGGAGACACAGAATCGGAAACAGGCTCCAGGCTCCAAGCCATCAGCCCAGAGCCTGACGCGGGGCTCGAACTCACGGACCGCGAGATCGTGACCTGGCTGAAGCCGGACGCTTAACCGACTGCGCCATCCAGGCGCCCCCTCTGTTATTTTTTAAAACAAGTTCACCATCCCCAGAAAATGTGTTCCTACTTAATTAAATAATTCAGGGGTACCTGGCTGGCTCAGCTGGTAGAGCATGTGACTCTTGATCTCAGGGTTGTGGGTTCAAGCCCCATGTTGGGTGTAGAGGTTATTTACAAACAAAATCTTTAAATAATAATAGTGATTCAGACCATATATACAAGTACAAAGAAGATGGTAGGAGGTACCAGAAAATCCCACCTCCCAGTGATAATCACTGCTATGTTTTGGTGGACATCCTTCCAGACATTTCTCTGTCCATATATCTACATGTAGATCTACTTACATAGTTATGGAGTAATATGCCTTTTCACTCAGATTAAGTTTTAGATCTTCCTGTGTACCTAAGTACAGCTATACATAATTTTTTAAGCATTTATTTTTGAGAGAGAGAGTGCAAGCACGAGCAAGGATGGGGCAGAGAGGCAGGGGGGTGGGAAGAGAGAATTCCAAGCAGGCTCAGTACTGACAGCACAGAGCCCGGCATGAGGCTTGATCTCACAAACTGTGAGATCATGACCTGAGCCAAAATCAAGAGTTAGAAGCTTAAGCAACTAAGCCACCCAAGTGCCCCACATAATTATTTTTAATGGTTGTATTATATTCAGTTAACGATTTGTTCCCTACTTAAAAATGCCTAGATTTTCCAATTTTCATTATTATGTTGTAATGCATATCCTATATATATATATATATTTTTTTTTTTTTTTTAATTGAACAGTTCTCTTTAGGATAACATTCTGGAAGTGTGCACTTTTTTTATGTTTTCATGCATATTGCCAAACTGCCTTCCCAAAAGGAAGTACCATTTCATGGTATATGCTACATGAGTAGTGTAGCAATGTAGAAAAGTACCCATTTCCCTGGACCCTCACTAGGGCAGGCATCATGAGTCTTAATCTTATGGGTGAAAAATATTAGTATTTTTAATGGCTTGTTTGTATTTCTTTGGTGGTGAAGTGAGTACCTTTTTTTTTTTTTTTTTTTTTAACATGGTTGATCATTTGTATTTCTTCTTTGTAAACTGCCTTTTTGTAGAAATTGGGGAGCCCAGTGTCCTGCCCACAATAAGTAGTCAATATGCCCCTTGTTAGTTGACTTCGTTGACTTGACTTCTGTTTTGGACAGGTCCTGAAGGATTCTTTCATCGGTGATGCCAAAACATGCATGATTGCCAACATCTCGCCAAGCCACGTGGCCACTGAACACACTCTGAATACCTTGCGTTATGCTGACCGGTGAGTTGCTCTCAGGTAGCAGGTCGTGTGTACAGGTCTCATACACACATAGGGGTCTGATCTTGAGCTCCAGAAGCCTGTTCTTGAGGCAGTGATCCTAGTACCGAAGGGGAATGTGCAGTTGGTAATTTGAAGAATGTGACCTGGTAGGCCTTGCCATTTTACAAGTGTGAATGTGACAAGAGGAAGAGGACACATTCCCCGGTTCAGGAGACAACTCCGTTGGTGATTTTTAAATGGCTACTGGGAAATGAAATTTCTTTGGAGTTGAAGGCTCAAGGTTTTCTTCCTGCTAGCCTCAGCCCTAATAGTAAGGGATAGAATACATGTTACTTGTCAAAGCAGAGACACTTAGAACTTTGTAGGTCCAGAAGAGAGCAACCCAGATATAACGTGTTACAGAAGGATAAATTGAGCCCAGAGAAGGGCAGGAACTTTAAAAGGGCTCATTGGGAATTGGTGGTAAAGCCAGCACCTTTGACTATATATTTGGGGTGACTTTGATATCTGCCAGGGTCCCCCCAACCCCACCCCATGTCTTACTCTGTGGTCACATATGTTTCCTACCATGGATGAAGACGCTACCATTTCCATTCTTTCCTCTGGCTGCTTTGCTGCTTGGTCCTGTCTTACATCTTTTTCTGTGGTCTCCCAGAAGCTGTCTCCTCTCCAAGGTTAACAAACTATTTGAGGGAAAGCTTTTCTTTTTTCTTTTTCTTTTTCTTTTTCTTTTTCTTTTTTTTTTTTTTTTACTACTGTTGAGGAATCTTTAGTATCCATGGCATTTTATGAAATTCATTGGGAAGGAAAAGTGAGGTATTATTTAAGTTCAATGAAAACAGGAAACCTTATCTTTTTCTCTACCATATCTATTGCTCAGTGCTTTACCTGGTAGACGCACAGTAAATATTTGTGAATGAAAGGAGGAACTCTTCCTGGGTGTCAGGGTGAGGCACTCTGTGTACCATCTCATTTAGATAGGAGAGATACTTGACACAGTGGTTACAAGAGCTCTGGAGTCCAGGCTATCTGGGCCAATATCCTACTTCTGCCTCAAAATAGCTGAGTGGTCTTGGGCATACGTTTTGGGTCCAGTTTCCTTATCTGACAGGGGATATTAGCATCTACATCTTACAACAGTTACATGGAATCAGTGAGGATAATATGTGTGAAGGGCTTACCAACATGCTGGGCACACAGTGACTACTCAATATGTTAATTTAATTTATGTGTTAATTTAACCACTGGTAATACTAATAGGTCCCCAAAATAGGTTTCTTTTATTGCATGATTTCCTAATGCCTGCTCACTAGCACTGCTAGAGGAAAGGCTACTTCATGAACTGAGATCAGATAGAAGATATGAGATGATCCAAACTTGTTTCCAAAAACCCAGTATGGCTGGAAATTCTTTACCCCCATGTATCCATTACCCAGCTTCAACAGTTATTAACAGTAAGCTGAACTTGTTTCATAACCCCACTCACTCTCCAAATCATAGACATTGTTATCAATTGCTTAGACTAATAACTTCATCACTAGAAGCAGAGAACAAGACCATCTCCTCACTTAGTGACTCAGTAAAGGAAGATGAAAATAACCCTTTCTCATAGGGGATGTATTAAGTATAATTGCAAAATTATTTGAAATAATTTTGGCTTTAAAGAGAATGGAAAAAGTATAATAGAATTCGCTTCATTTGAAGCAGTCTAATACATTACTGAAAATAAATGAGGAGCACCTGGGTGGCTCAGTTGGTTAAGCATCCAACTCAGATTTGAGCTCAGGTCATGATCTCACATTTCATAAAACAGAGCCCTGAGTCAGGCTACGTGCTGAGAGCAAGGAGGGGGCTTGGGATTCTCTCTCTACCTCTGCCCCTCACTCACTCAATGTGCTCACTCGCTCGCTCTCTCTCTCTCTCAAAATAAAAAAATAAATGAAAGCCATTTATTTTATGTGCTTAAATGAGGCCTAGAAGAATGTTGCTAAGTAGTCCAGAAATAAAGTTCCATAGTTCTAATAGATGTATCAGAAGAGCTCACTGATAGTTGTGATTTTGGTGACATGAAAAGTACACTGGAAGCAGTTAGCATCAATGACCAAATTACCTGTAGGATTCCTTCTGGCACTCAGCTGTCTATAGTTATTTACTGTGACTCCTAGTGAGAAATTTTGATGTTTCTCTCAATTAAACTAAAATATTTAAGATTTTTATAATAGGAAGTAATATGGAACCATCTAGACTTACCATGGCACCTCTCAGCCCCTTGCTTGTATGTCCTACTGCAACACCTAAACAAAGGCCCGTGGATACAATTCGTGTGTCTTTAGTCACATCCTACATCTCTTTGCTTAGCTATGTTGCCTGTCTTCCTTGGCTCTCAGACTTAAAGGTAAGATTTAAATGAAGTCTCAGTGTCAGACTTACGATCTTGGTTTTCAGAAATGACCAGGTGTCATTTGGCTACCAGTAACGATTGGATTAAAACCAAAACAATGGAGGGGCACCTGGGTGGCTCAGTCAGTTACATCTGACTTTTGGTTTCAGCGCGGGTCATGATCTCACAGTTCATGGGTTCAAGCCCTGCATCAGGCTCTGTGCTGGCAGTGCGGAGTCCTCTGTCTCTGCCCCTCCCCCACTCATGTTCTCGGCCTCTCTCAAAATAAATGGATAAACTTAAAATAATGGAAGAGACATTTTATGGGAGCCCCCAAGTAGAAGTAGTACTCCCTTCTAGAGGATTTTTTTTTCTTTTTAATAAAGAAACACTCTTTGTTTTTAATGTTTTATTTATTTTTGAGACAGGGGGAGACAGAGCATGAACAGGGGAGGATCAGAGAGAGGGAGACACAGAATCTGAAACAGGCTCCAGGCTCTGAGCTATCAGCACAGAGCCCGATGCGGGGCTGGAACTCACGAACCATGAGATCACGACCTGAGCTGAAGTCGGCCGCTTAACCAACTGAGAGCCACCCAGGTGCCCCTCTAGAGGATTTTTAAATATATCTTTTTAATTAAGTAGGCTTCATGCCCAACGTGGGGCTTGAACTCATGACCCTGATATCAAGAGTCGCATGCTCCACCGAATGAGCCAGCTGGACACCCCACCTCCTAAGGGATTTTAATGAAGAATCTACAAACTACTGGAGAGTCACATTTTTACTTGATGTCACCTTGTAATTCTAAATTCCTACAGTGTTTTTAAATGTCACAGAGTAAGAGACTGAACTTGACAACTAAATCCTAGCAGAGACCTAATTCTGGCTTTTCCATCTTCTCTAAAATTCCCATGTGGAATAGAGCACGGTTCTCTATTTCTCTACCTAGGAGGCAACTTTGCCTCCCACGGGACATTTAGCAATGTCTACAGACATTTTTGATTTTCATGACTTAGAAGTGCTTCTGACATTTAGTAGGTGGAAGCCAAGAATGCTGCTAAACATCCCATAGGGCACAACACAGGACAGTTCCCCACAACAAAGAATTATCTGGTTTTCCAAATACCACTATGCTAAGGTTGAGAAACCCTAGGAATAGACAGGTCACTTTTCCTTTAGTGGAATTAGCACAGCCTGCTTATTTCCAGAAGGTTTTGCTTCCTGAGTTCTAGCAAGTTTGAGGGAATTCATTTTCTTAGAGAAGCCTGAAAGGAGATGGGCTGCAGGAAAAGTGGGCAGGTGAGTGGTAGACACCAGGCTCCTGAGTTGGTCCACCTTCAAGAAGTACAGCATGGGCCCTACATGGATGTAGTGCAGTTCCAAGACCAGCTCCTCTGGCCTATCCCATGGGACTGAGGTGATTTCCAAAACTTCTGATCATAGAATGCTAGGTATATGCTTATGTCCTAAGAGAATACACTTGTCTTTTTTGTAATACTTTTTGTTTCGTTTTTGAAAAATATAGAAAAGGAATTATGCAGCATACAGGAATACACATTTAACATAAAATGGTAATTTACAGGGTCAAAGAACTAAAGAAAGGCATTAAATGTTGTGCTTCAGCTACCAGTCGAAATCGGACCTCTGGAAACTCTTCTCCAAAACGAATCCAGAGCTCCCCTGTGGCCCTGCCAGGGGATAAGTGTTCTCCCAAAAAAGTCAAGCTGGGACTTCAGCAGTCATTCACAGCAGCTCCCAGTTCCACGAGAGGGAAGGCTCATCCTCTGGCAAACCGCCCACCCAATATCCCTTTTGCTCCTGTACCTAAAGTTCCCAGTAAAAGGGGTGGATCCAGAGGGAGTCTTCACCAAGAGTGGGTCATTCAGACTAGCCCTGTGAAGGGAGCCACACGGTCTGGACATTCAGTCAAAAAAAGAGAAGAGTCTGCCTCATTGTGCTCTGAGAAAATTCAAATGAGCCACAAAGCTGCCCGCAGATGGGGAAGCAGGACCCCTGGCCCAGGAGAAGACCCGGTGCATGGCAAACTGCCCTCCAAGTGCAAGAAAGTGCAGACTGTGCAGCCAGTGCAGAAGCAGCTTGTGTCACGAGTTGAGCTGTCCGCTGGCAACCTCCACCACTTGGCAGAATACAGTCAGGGCAGCAAGGGGAGCACACCTGCCAGGTCTGCCTCTGAAGCTTGGACAGACATCCCTCCACACCAGAAGGAGAGGGAGGAACATTTGCGCTTTTATCACCAGCAGTTCCAGCAGCCGCCTCTCCTCCAGCAGAAGTTAAAGTACCAACCACTGGAAAGGTTTTTATGCCAGTACAGGCCCCTAGAGGGGCAGCTCCAGAAGGAGACCCCTCCTCCCTTCTGTTCTTACTCTGAGAGCCAGGATGGAGCCCAAACTGAGGACCTTGATGACAGCGATTTCAGTGAAGATTCTTTTTCACATGTCTCCAGTCAGAGAACCACAAAGCAGAGAAACACCCTAGAGAATAGCGAAGGTTCATTCTTCCTTCATCAGAGGGAACAAGGACCTGAGGAGCAGGTGGCTGAAAGGCAGCGAAGTCTGCTTTTTAACCCCAGGACAGATGGTGATGAGAAGTGTCTAACTGGAAGCTGGATGTACTCCAGGGACCCCACAAGCCACAGAAGAGCAGCACTTAATCGTGGCCACAGCCCAAGTAAGTTACCTTTGGACTGGAGCAGAGAGGAGGACTCTATCTCCTCAGCACCTTCTCCCAGAGACAACCTGGCAGAGAAGCCTTACTGCTCACAGGTAGAGTTTGTATATGGCCAGAAAAGAGGTGGCAGCCCAGCCTTTGATCTCAGACAGAATGCCTTCAGAAGTGAGGTTCCTGGGCAGGCCAAGGGTACTTCACCATCCCTGGAGGCAGATGGTTTCATTTTCTCACTATCCCACATTGCAGTTGCAAGATCTCCAGACCAAAGAGACACACTCAGTACACCTCTGAAAGAAGTCAGACAAGACAGCCCAACAGCAAAGAACAGTTATGCATACCAAGACGACAACTCTAAAGGGGAATCAGGCACATGCTCTGAATATGCTTCTGGAGTGATGGCTCCCCTCACTGTGTCCCTCCTGGAGAACACAGACAATGAGGGCTCTCTTTCCTTGGAGCAGCTGGCCCAGGATGGGCCTGTGCATACTCTAGCGGCAGTGGACACAGGGGGACCAGCTGTGGACCACACAGTGTCATCTGATGATCAAAAGGCACTTCTGCCAATCTCTTCGGCAACTGGGCACCTGTGGCTCTCATCATCTCCCCCTGACAATAAGCCTAGTGGTGGTCTTCCAGCTCTGTCCCCATCACCCATCCGTCAGCAGCCCCCGGACAAGCTACCCACAAGTGAGGCCGACCTAGGAGGGGTCTGCGAGAGCACAGAGACTGCTCTCTTCTCCCAGGAACATGTGGGTAGCCAGCAGTATGATGCTGATGCTAAGGACACAGAGCTGAACAGCTCCCAAGGTTTCCCAGGAAAGCCCTTCCCCACCATACATACTGGAGGACCCCACCCTGGGCCTATATTCACCCCACAAACAGAAAGTAGTGATATGGCTGACCAGCCCTGGGCCCAGGAAAGAAAACATCCAACAGGTCTTGGTTGGCAGGAGCTGAGTTTGTCCACAGACCCCATCAAGTTGTCTTGCTCCAACACAGACGTCGTATGGCTCAAATACAGGCTGATCCCAAGATGCTTAGCAAGGCCAGGCTCTCCCCTGATCCCCAGTTGCTCTCCAGAGACGGCAGGAAAAGTCCATCAGCTCACCCTGGGGCATGCACAGTAAGTTGGACACTCCCCAAGATTCGAGCCCCTCCAGCACCCCTACTTCCACCCCAGGTTAACGTTTTGTCTGTCCTGGGAATGGCTATTGTTGGCTCAGTGTCAGAGCTATTCTACAACTAGAGAGGCTTTGTCCAGCTTTTCAAGGGAGCTTGCCTAGATGCACCTGACATGGAGAGCAAGAATAAAATGTATGGGAGCAGGCCCACCAGGGTGGATGAACCCTGAGTCTGGGAAAGCTGGGACTTGAGTGGGAGAAGGGAGGATCTGTCACCTGTGGTAAGTTCAGAATCCTCTTCATTCTGTCGGGTCTGTATTCCTGAAGTGCTGCCCAGAGATGCAAAAGCTGTAGCCTTGTGCCCGCAGAACCAAGACAGGCTGGCCACCTTCCAAAAGGGTGAAATTGATCAAAAACAGAGGGACTAGTGGTTTGTACTGCTTTCCCCAAAGGATGCTGTAGATGGTGCAGCAAAAAGAGATGGGCCAGAGGCATAGAGAAAAAAAAGGCAGAGGGATCAAGCAGGGCCCCTCTCAGCATTAGAGGCTGGGAGATGGAGGGCAGGGTGGGTGTGTGGGAACAGAGGCTACAGCCCTTTGCTAGGGCTCCTGATATCTAGGCCGGCTGTGTGCCTGCTGCTCGCTTTGGCTCCAGGCCAAGGCCATGGACAAAGAAAAGGACATGCAGGGATGCACAGGTGAGAGGAGCCTGGCAGATCCTCCAGTTTCCAGCTCAAACCCCCTGCTTTGGTCCCTGGACACCCAGGGAGGAGAGATGATGGCAGGCAAAACAGCAGGCTCTACCCCGTGCCAAGTGTGTCACCTCCAGTGGTCACAGCCTTGAACCTTTTGGCAGGGAAGCTATGGGCAGCTCCTGTAAAGAGCACTCATCCCTGTCCTTCAGTGTAGCTGGGGAGGCAGGGACAGCTTGAGAAGTGCCTCTTTCCTGGTATCTTCTTGGTATACTCTAGTGCCTAAATAAGCCCTAAGAACAGGTGACAGGGGAGGAGGTGATGGTGAGCTGGCCTTGGTCAAAGCTTTGACCACTTTGGGCAGAGGCAGTTCCTGGCCTGGAAATAAGGCTCTCAGCTCCCAAAAGTTGCCCAAGAGAGATGGAAGGCCCAGAGGATCACACTGTCCCCTCTGGTGTTTCCAGGCAGGTGGTCATCCGAGCACACCAGGAACAGCTGGATGAAATGGCAAAACTGGGCTTCAAGGAGGAGACCCTAATGAGCCAGTTGGCTCTTAATGTAAGTGGCCTTGGCTAGACCCTCAGGGGCTCTTGGGAATTAGCCTGTGGGTAGTTTGATGGTCATCCTTGTTTGCTGCAGTTATGTGTGGGGTAAGGGTCTGCTATCCTACTCTAGGAGGCCTTGTGCCATTCCTCTGACATAGCTCAAGGGGGGCGCAAGGACAGGTGAGAGACGGTACTACACTCCCTGTTTCCAGGCCTGTATCCTGTGCCATTCTGCCTTCTTGACTTGCTAGGGCCCCTCCCTGTGACAGTAAGTGACCTACCACATGCAAACCAGGGGTACTTTCACAAAAACAACTCTCTGTCCTGCAGAATACCTCTCATAGAAGTTTCTCAAATGCAGGGGTGCCTACCTGGCTCAGTCAGTGGAGCATGCAACTCTTGGGGTTGTGGGTTTGAGCCCCACATTGGGTAGAGATTACTTTAAAATAAAAACCTTTTTTTAAAATTCATTTTGAGAGAGTGCGCGCAAGCTTGGGGGGGGGGGGTGTAGAAAAGAAAAGAATCCCAAGCAGGCTCTGTGTTCTCAGCGCAAAAAGCCTGATGTGGCGCTCGAACCCGCAAACTGTTGAGATCATGACCTGAGCTGAAGTCAGATGCATAATGGACCAGGTCACCCAGGTGCCCCTTAAAAATAAAATCTTAAAAAAGTTTCTCAAATGCAGAGAAATGAGCCTCACCCTGTGCCATAGTGACTCTCCTGCAGATTTTCCAGCTGAAGGATGGACCTGGGCTCTGAAAACTTGCAAGAGAAGGGACTAGAAAAGCAGATCCTAAGAGAAGGCTAGCAAAAGCTCCATTTGTCCTTTGTTTCCTTTCTCAGGATTTTGAAGATTTTGTGACCCAGCTGGATGAAATCATGGCTCTGAAATCCAAGTGCATCCAGAGTCTGAGGAGCCAGCTTCAGCTATATCTGGCCTGCCACAGGCCAGCCACCGCCCCTGAGAGAACAATGGTGTCTTAGAGTAAGACCCAATATGAGGTGATGGCAGCTCAGGAGCCTGTGCTGAAGGGGCCTCTGCCAGGTCCTCCCTGCAGATACCAGACCCACTCCCTGATCCTTCTCAGGCTACCCTTTCCCTAGCCACACATGGCCTTGACTGGGCCCCAGCTCCTCTCTCAGGACCAAGACTCTGTCCCTCAATTTCAAGCACAAGGCCATCTGTAAGAAAGGACCGAGCAGCCTAAAAAAAACAATATGGCCCTCCCTTTTCTTTGGGGCTAGAAGAGAATTTGTCTTACTGACCTCTTGTCTGGAAACACACTTGGGTCTAATAACCTTGTAGATGTTTCTGAATTTAAGGCTCAGAGGATGAGGTCAGTGGTAATGTAAATGCCAAAGGCCACAAGCTGGAGAAGAAACCATGCTGAACTCAGGGGCTTTGTTAGATGAATTCTGTTCTTCAAGACTTAGCCAAAAACTAAAACACTGGTGGCTTGTAGTGGGGGCTGGGTGAGCTCTGCCCCATCAGCCCTTGGAGACTGGTTTGGGCTTTAGGTTGCATACGTGGGACAGGCTTTATACCCCCAGTTCCCCTCCCTTCCTGCAATCCAGACACAGAAGGGAGTGTTCATATTACTGCATTATTCTTTTCCCATCTCTGCTTATGCTGGGATGACTGGCCTATTATAAGTCCTAACAGCACCCATGCTCCTGTGGCAGGCAGTTCCTGGCTCCTGAGTCCTCACCTGTCACGCCCTCTCGTGGCAAAGTTGAAGGGGAGGATCTCAGGCAAGTCCATCTCCTAGTGTTAACTTTAACATGACCCTGACTGTCCACTACCTCAAGAGCCTGTGTTTAGTAGTACCTTGGCAGGAGTGCTCCAGTCAGTAGTCTTGAGAATCTGAAGCAGAATTTTTACACACCCCTTCATATGAGTCCTCCTTGCTATGTATCTTTTCATCAGGAAGAGGCTCAAGACAAAGACAAATACAAACTGGTCCATCACTTACTAGGGCCTCCCGGGTCAAACTTCAGATTCATGTGTCACAGCCTTGGCCCGGATGCCCACTATAATGTGTGAATCTTCAATTTCTTACAGGGAAAGGATACCTTTGTAAGGTTTTAAAAGGAAGGCTTAATTAAGAGGATAGAAGCATTAACTGGCTTTCAACAAGACTGCAGCCCTGCTGCCCTTTAACTGATCTGAGCACTAGAGGGCGGCCTCTTTCCTGGCCAAAAGACTGCAGTCTCTCCTCATATGATCACTCAAAATACTAGACCCATTCCCAGCCGTGAGCATAAGGTAGGGACTACAGGATGGCATTAAGTATAAAGACCAGAAACTTCAGGGAGGAATCTAGTTCTCTCAGCTACAACAGCACCACTGAGAGCTGGTGAAACAGTCTGAATCCAGTTCTGCCTGCGGCGCACAGCACATAAACGCCTGATGCTTCTCACAGGAAAAGGTACTTCCTCATTTCTGAGTGACTACACCACAGGCCCAGCCTGTCTCACCTCCAGTCTTGCAGGAAGGCATATGTCCGTGTTCCAGAGACTGAGCTACGTCAGGTTTGTAACAGATCCTCATCTGGGTCTGCCTCTGCAAACCAAAACCCAGGGCAGACTGCAGGGCCAGCTTCTGGGTACCAAAGGCCTACAGTGGGAAGAAAGTACTAAAAAGACAAAATAGTTAGCTCCTATTTCCTGAGCAGCAAATCTAAGCAGGAACCTCTTCACCACCTACCCCAGCCCCTCAGTAAAACAGCACTTGGCAATAAATTATCACAGCAGAACATACCTTTTAGAGTTTTATTAGTAGTTCTCTGAAGAATCAAAATAGTTAGCAAATTACTTTAGATTCAAGACTGTATATCCTTTGTATTTAGATCTTTAATGATGAACAACATAATACAAAACAAACGAAAGAGACTGATTTCTATGACTAGGTGTTACTCATTGTGTCATCCTAGAGCAGGGGGCTGGAGGGAGAGGCTGTTCTCCAAGGAGAACTGAGGTGGAGTTAGTGCTGGGCTACTAAATTGCAGCCTATTTCTCCCCACTCGATGTGCTGGGAAGGGGCCAATGATTTCTTAAACCAACAACTGCTTCCGAGAGAAGGGAGCTCTAAAATCCTGGGTAGCAGAGGATTGTGGTCCAAACCAAGCCAAAAGAAACAGGCTGGGGCAGGGAAGCATGGTAACTGCCTGGCAGAAGAGGCAAACTCAGCGCCCCATGGGGAAAAGGGCATTTTTTGCACCTCAGAGACATTGCAGAACCAGTGTAACACTAAGATTTTGTTGGAAAAAACAAAACAAAAACCCTGGAAGAACCTTTCAATTGCACTCAACCTGGATCAGAGTTCAGTCCACCAGTGCAGGGGAGGGAAGCATCTAGCCCTAAAGCAGCAGAGTCTGGCCCTCCCACCCCTTCTTCCTGACTCCTTTTGGCAGCTGGGCCAGGTTTCGGCTGAGGACATACCCCAGAAGGACCAGGGAAGTCTCTCTGGAGGGCCAAGGTGGGAAGGTCACTTCTCAAAATACAAATACATTTAATATGGAAGGAGCCAGAGCAGTTCTGGAGGCATTCACATGCCCAAATCTTCCCTACTTTCTCCCCAGCTCAGAGACTGGCAAGCACAGTCTCCACGCCTGACCTTCCACCCCCAAAAGAAACTCGGGAAGTGTGTCCCTTCTCCTTCCCCACACATGGGATCCTCAGGGCCTCCTGCGGGGGTGGTTCCATGGCAGGGCCTAGGCAGCGCCTGGTCTCAGCTGGCTCCTGCCCGAGCCATGAGGTCTTCCAAAGCATTGTCCTGGTCATTGTTGTGTAGTAGCAGAACTTCCTTAATGTCTTTCAGTTCAAAGCCCATTTCCTTAAATTTGCTCATTAACTGAAGAAACTCCATCATCTAAAGGACAAAAGAGAAGAAAGATTGAAGAAAGGGTTCTGGCCACATAGTAGGGTAGAGGAATGTGTATGTAGGGGGCTGCTTGGGGGAATCTGCATTTTTTGCCAGAGCCTCATGAGTTTCTCTGAGGTCCCCCAACAAGCACAAGGGGGCTGTAGAGGAAGCCAGGCAGATAGGCTGATGCCACAGCGTATCATCCTTCAGGAACTATGCCCAGTTCCAACTCCTGCTGTCTCATTTGCATCCCACTAACCAAAATCCACATTCAAGGCAGGATACTGAACCCAGAAACAGCCAGGAAGCAGGCTGGGCAAAGTGACTAGCAATCTCCTCAGTCATCCAGAAGTAAGGCTTTTTGCCCAGGTCATTTCCCCTTCCCTTCCCTGGGACCCTAGATAATCTTCAACCCAATACTTCATCAAGCCTCTAACAACCCAAACTATCCAAATGCTGTCTGGACACTTAAGAAATTATGTATTTTGACTACCTCTGCCTGCACTCACTAGTAGGAAAAGGTGATTCTTGGACAGGAGACACTACTTTGTCCCTCCTTTCCAGAGGGTTCCCTTGAGGCACAAAGGGTCCTACCTTTTCCTCTGAACACTGGTGCATTTCCAGAGCCTCTTCCACTAAAAGAGGGTCGAAGCCCTTCTCACAGAGCTGTCCATGTGCAAAGAGATAGTCGAGAATCTTAAAAAAATAAAAAGGTTTGAGCACTTATCACCACTCTTGCCTGAGTTTCCCAAGAGTCTTAGACAAGCCAGTAAGGGTGACGTCTGCTTCCCACCTGGCTATTAGATCCTGGATAGGACTTGAATTTGTATTGTGAACTGCATCCAACACAGTAGGACCTCGGTGACTATTTGCTGAAAAGACAGGCATACCCTTCTAAACATGAGTAGCCATTTTTCAAAGGAGTTCCTGTCACAGCTGACTCCTCTCTCCCAGAATGTCAACTCCACAGACAGGGCAGAATATACTAACAAATAGCCCAAATCACAAAATGCCAAGATTTAGGTCTCCAGTACCCTATTTTGGAACACTCTGGGCATCTATGACAGGATAAACATTTCTGGGAGGAGACATCAGACCGTATCTCAAGCCTAGTGTGCCCTCTCAGGAGGGGCAGAGAACAGTCCAACGGCTCCAATGCACCCTTTCCTCTAGGCTTTTCTCTAGCGTAGGTCCCAGGCAGCCCCCAAAGCAGAAGCACTGCTGCTGAGGCTGCTACTTTCTCCAAAAATATTGCCCTGAGTCCCGCCAACTCACAGGAAAGGACGCTGGGGCTAGGAGTCTGATGGGGCTCTAGGATATAAGCAGGACATTACTCCAGCCCCAGAGGTCTAGGACCTCTCTCCAGGCTGACCACTCACCACCCCCCCCCCCCCCCCCCCCAGCCAACCAACCACTCACCTGCTCAATATTCTCTCCTTTCTTCTTCATGGCTCTCAGGACACACTCATATGAGTAGCCCATGTTGACCACAGTCTCCACACACTGCCGCTCACTGGGGGACAGTGTCTGCAGTTCAGAATAGGCCTGGGGACAGCTGGGAGTGTTGGGCACTTGTGACATTGAGAAATTAGGAGGTGTGACCTGGTGGTGGAGAAACCAGAGGATCAGGCAGGAATAAAGACAACTAGGGCCCCAGAAGACATGTCCCCTAAGTAGCCCAGTCCAGGGGCTTGCTATTTGACACTTACCACATTCCCAAACAGTTGGCCTGGTAGAAAGGGCCAGACTGCTGGCCAGACATCCTAAAGATGGGTAAGGGAGCACCAGATGAGGAAAAGAAAAGCTGAGAAGACACCTGCAATTGGATTGTCCTCTGCCCTCATCCCAGCTTGCAGAATAAGAAAATACTACAAGAGCTACATGCCCTTCTATGTTCAAATCCCTTGGGCTTGAATTGGAGAAATAAGTTCTGAGGCTGCCCATGGGACGGATGGCAAGATGGCTGCTATGATTTCTCTCCCGGGCTCCATTATCCCTTTCACAGGTTGTGCTTCAGAGTCATAAAAGGTTCATTCACCTCAGACACCCCGTAACTCTGGGGCTCTTTCCCGACAATGTCTCTATCCCTGGGCTGGGCAGAGACTGCGAGTGCTGTTCCCCTGCATGGCCAGTTCAGTGGCTCAGAGCTTTGAGGGCACTCTACCTTTTCCCTGTACCACAAGCTACAAGGCTTCAATTCCCTGCTACAGCTGCCAATACTGAAGGACTATTAGCCACACCAGGGTGGGCCCTCAAGAAATGGAATGTGTACTCCAGGGCCCTGCCTCTACTGTCCTGCAGGCAGCCTGCTACATGCCCTAGGACTCTATTAACCTCAGTCGGATTGATGGGTAGAACTCTTTCTACCCCTTCTGATAATGACTCAGGCCCAAGGCATGAAGGCTGCTCACTCCCAGACCTAAGGACCAAACCACAATGGAACAAGGTCATAGTTTAGCCCAGCTCCCAAGAACCAGGGAAAGTATTTCAACAGAATTTTTACTTCCTTTGGGGGGAGGGAGGGTGTGCTTAGGAAGCAGGGAACTCAGCTCCCCCCGCCCCATCCTAGAAAGGCATTCAAAGTTAATAGCTATAACCAGATACTTTCCTCAAAGTCAGTTGGGAAAAGCCAAAACTATAGGCTTTATAAAGCTCACTGTTTCCTTTTATCCATCTCACCCACAGCACACCCCTGGCAGCCTAGTCACAGGGCTCAGTCATTGAGTTACAGGAGTCACAACAGGGCAGAGACTGGATCAAACCAGTCTGGTACTTCGCAGGTCCCAACAAATCTCTCTTCAGGGTCAGGGTCTAACTGGGCTTGAAAATACCAAAAGCCAAATATGATTAATCATACTGCTGGCACAGTACTTATCACATCACAGTATGCTAATGTGAGCACCCTACCATGTCACACGTATTTCTGAATCCCCAGGG